CAGCTAGACCCAAAAATGCCATGAATAATTAATAAAATGTCGCGGTGAGCCGGGAGGAGAGCATAGATATGCAGGAAATGGGCGGCAGAGAATAACAAAGAGACTCGAATACCTTTACCCACGTCAGAATACCCAGAAAAGCTAGCGGCTCCGGAAATTATTCATCAAAAGAATGGCTGACGGTTCTAGACTTCTAGACAGGCGAAATGTTTCAGGTTTCCGTAATAAAAATTCGGCAGGGAATCGCTACTAATAAAGAATTGTATGGACTTCTTCCGGGTTTAAAAATATATGTTTAATACCAAAAATTATATAAACTGGCAGCCGATTTTTTAACCGGTCTTGAATTGATGATATCTGTAAAACCGAAAACGGCCCTACTAAATAAATTGTGTTTCATCAATAAAAATTATTCACCAAGGTAAAAACCTGATAATTACACCGTCCATCAAAGACGAAAAATTCATGAAAGGAAGAATTATATAATTCGTATGAAAATTGAGTACGTCGCTAATAAAAAAACTAAATGGCAAATTCTGTCAGTTTTAAAAATATATGTTTCATACAAAAACTTATACAAACTAGCCGACAATTTTTTTAATTCGGGTTCGAGTCTTGCAGATGTCGGATAAATGGAACCGCCAAACAATGAACTAAGTTGTGTTTCATCCTAAAATCTGCAACCATGATAAAAACCTGATAATTACACCGTCCATGAGAAAGCAAAAAAATTTGTGAAAGGAAGAATGTGAAGAAGAATGTGATGTGAAAGTGAATATATTCAGTGTAAAAAAATTCGGCAAGGTTTGCGCTAATAAAAAAGATGGCGAATTATTCAGATTAAAAAATATATGTTTAACACCAAAAATTAGTCAAACTAGCTGACAATTTTGTTAATCGGTCCCAGGGCTTTGCAGTAAACTGATAAAAGAGAACGGCTACCACTAAATAAATTGTATGTTTCATCCTTAAAAATGACCACTACGATAAAAACCTGATAATTGGATAGTCCATCAGTGAGCAAAAAAATTCGTGAAACGAAGTATTATATAACTCTTAAAAATCTATTCGATAATTAAAAAAATTATACGAATGGTGGAATGAACGCCAACGTACGAATAGCATAAGAAAGGAACCACCAGAGTTAACATAATTAATCCAAATTTTAAAAAATTATGTTTTAGCCAAGGATATTAAGGCCGCGATAAAAATGTGATTAATTGCCATTTGCAAAGTAGCTGTCAAATTTTGTTAAAAAGCGACCGTAACAATAAAAAACGGTTGGCAAGTGGACAAAAATACGTTTTATTCTTAGGTGTAGCTGGATCGTATTTTGAGCCGTTAATAGGAAGCGGAGAAATAGCTACTAATCCATGTTTCATCCCTTTAAATTCATCAATCCAGATAGAAATCTTATAATTCGATTGTCCACGTTAGAGCAAATATTTCGCGAACTATATAATTAGTAAAAAAAAAATTAACCGATAAACAAAATAACGGAAAGACACAGCTAGAGCGGCAAAATGTTAATAGAACGGGAAAATGACCACAAAAGTTCATACAAATGTTTCCAAATCAACAAAATGTTTCATCCAAAAAACATGAAATTTGATGGAAAAATATATTAATAATGTCCAGAAATGCCTGTGGGGGTTTTACGTGTTTTTTGGGGGCTATAAGAAAGTCTGAATTTTATCACATTTTTATGTTTATTTTTGTTATTTATTTTATTTGATTAATTCTGATTTTTCTGGCTTTCTGGATTGAACCTTTGGACCCAATGGATTTTCCGGAAAGCGCGCCGGAAACGCTGGAAAATCGCGGAGAGAGCGGAGAAATAAAGAAAAACGGCCGCGAAAAGAATTAGATGCAAAACATGGCCGCTCGCTGGATTTATTGGGCTGTTTTGATGGCTAGAGGTGGGGAGCAGAAGTGGCGAAAACAAGGGCCCGAAAGGGCGAGAGAGTGGAGGGAGAGAGGAGAGGGCAGAGGTAGAGAGAGAGAGAGAGAGAGAGAGAGAGAGAGAGAGCGAGAGAGAAAGCCGGAATCGAGAAGCCAATGCGTATATTTGCCTAGGAGACGCTGAGCGCAAGCGGACCTTTGCCCCCCATCAGCATCCGGCTTCCCCAACCAAAAATCAGCAATTTCCGGGTTTAAATAGAATTAGTTTAATACCATTAATTAAGGCTTTAGGATTTTTGAAAAGTCTGGTTTTTGAGCAAATTTTAATAATAAAATTATGTGAATGCTAAATTATGCTAACAGGCCTTTATGGACCTCTCGGAAAAATTAGCCCCCCCCAATAATGCAAAAGAACCGGAGTTCCCAAAAATTTCAGCACAAAAAAGATAGAGGAGTACAATCAGTTTGAAAAACGAAAGGTGAAGCACTAAGACACGAGCAAATTATTAGATCCAAAAAATACGGAATACCAACTATCAGCGAAACATGATTTTCTTGAAATTTAATAAGAGCCGATAAGCCGCTAAATTGTTTACGGAACACACAACAGCTACTTTTTCCATTTTATGCAATACTGCGCAAACACCGATTACGAATTGTATTTCTCAAAAAATAGTGCATGGCCTCTGGCAACGAAACATGCTTTTTCACATGAATTTTTAACCAGAATCAATGTGCTAATTTGATTTTTCTGACCTGAAATTTCAGGGAAAGCAAATCCAGCCGCTTACAAATATAAACGAAGTCAGATTATTTGAAAAATTAATAACGTATACTGATAGATATCCACGAAAACAATTTTTCACCGACATGCATAGCAAACGCCCGGAATTGGCTAACTTAATTTCATCTACTATCGGTTATTAACGTGAAACTTTGATTTTTAACGTGTCCAAACCACGATATCTGTGCCAATAGATAAGAAAATGCAAGTTTTTAAGATTCAAGAGTATCAGCCGTAAATGAAACCCTTTTTCTGATCGGGTCAACTTTCATTTACCTAGCTTTCCTTAATGAGTTTCCCGGTTTTCGAACAATTCTCCTCTTATACTTCCGTTCGATAACTGCATAATTACATAGCTTCCATATAAATTAAATAGAAAATGGCCTCCGGTCGGAAAACATATGTTTAAAAATTTAAGGACTTTCTAAATTCCAAACGTCGATGATTGAGCGCAGTAAGACGAACGGAACAGCTAGCTGAGATTCCGTGTGGAAATTCACGTGCAAAACATGCTTACGAAAATATAAAAAAGCAAACATATACATACATAATCTTTTTCACTCTAGTGTGTAAATTATAGTGTAAAAATTTGGCAAAAAAATTCTAAAATTTCACGAAAAGCATGTTTTATCGATGTGCAGGGGCGTAGCCAGAAAAAAATTTCGGGGGCGGCCCCGAAAAATTTTTTCCGAAAATCTCAAAAAATTAACAAGAAAACAGCGCCGCAGGCAAAAAATTTTAGAAAACAGGCTATGTATATCTACAAATAGCAGTAAAAACGTGAAAAAATAGCGCCGCAGGCAGCAAACTTTTTGAGAAAATAAAAATCATAAGGGTCCCCCCTTATGAAATTTTCGGGCCCCGGCCGATTTCGGGGGGGGCCCGGGCCCAGGGGGCCCACCTTACGCTACGTCCCTGTCGATGTGGCATGTTGCAATGGTATTCAGGTTATTAATGTACGCATCAGAGTCCAACTAAAAATTGCCCAAAAAATTAAGTGGCATCCCCACGATCGAGGTGTGACCTCAGAAACGGTATCGTGTTGATAACTGAGGCCCTAAGGGTATATTTGTATCACTGGCGTCTCTCTCTCTCTCTCTCTCGCTCTCTATCTCTCCCGCTCTATCTCTTCCGCTCTCTCTATTTCTCTCTCTCTCTCTCTCTCTCTCTCTCTCTCTCTCTCTCTCTCTCTCTCGCTCTCCGCAAGAATCTCTGCTAGCTTGGAAAATTAAGATAGGCCGGGAGCCAAAAAAAAAAAATAGGCAGACTTTTGACCTGCGGGGCCACTTTTTGCGGGTAGTGTGTTCGTAGGGGGAATCCCCGGACCCTGGCACGACGTGTGCACCCGAAACACACTTCCTTTCCACCCTCATACGCGCTCTTTACTCGAACGGACAGACTGACAGACAGCCAAACTCGACTTGTTTTCCTCGTCATCCCCCCTCTTCCCCCGCGGGACCACCTGCTCTCCTAGAAAATGTAAAAGTGCAAAACATGGCCAAGTCTGAACTAGATGAATCAGTGCGCGCAGTAGCACAGATTTTAAAGAAAAATTTTTTGTTTTGTTTTCTATTATATTTTTCTTAAAAATAATAATAAATAATAATAACGGTGCTTCGCATTTTCGGGCGAAGGGAACGAACTTTTTTGAAAAGTTGTAAAAAGTGAAAAAGTGTAAAACCTGATAGGAAGGGTTATAATAGTGTTCTTTAACAAAATCTAACTATATTTCGAGCAGAAAAACTATCTCAAAACTACAAAATCAGTCATATTACGTCGAAAAATATATATTTTTTGGCTTTTTTTTGATAAAATTTTGTAGTTTTCTCGTTTAGAAATAGTAGAAACCATTTAGAAAGATTTCCACTACTCCTATTTGAAAAATTAGATCCTCAGGAACAAGTTGACCTCCCCCCGATAATGCGAAAGAGCCCAAAATATTAGTGAAAAGGGCGAGCCGATAACAGTTCTATGCCGAAAAGCAACCTGACCTACGGCTGAGAAAACAATAAAACCAAGAAGAATTAATAAAACACGCGTCGAATTACAAAACCCTCTAGTAACGTTTTGCCCTACACCGACATTTACTCGCTCCTCGATGCCCGTCATCCGGCAAATTAGACGGAGGGTAGCTGATGTGAGTGGTGACAGCCGGAGAAGCCAAAGGGATGTTAGCCACCATATAAAAACACTTTATTCCGTCTGGTGATCAACAACGTCTAAAACGAAAACGATACAGTAGGGTGGCAGAACTAAAGTATATAAAAGTTCACAATAATCAGACAACGAGATTGAGAAGTCGAACCGGGGCTCAGAGAAGTTTCAGCTGGCCGCACACCGAATCGACGGCTTCCTTCGGGCCGAACACTCCGAGCACCGTACGCGAACCAGCCGGAATCTGCGTGTAGCCGGCGTCAGCGACAAGGTATGCCGAGCAACCCTGAAAAATAAGATACTTACAAAATGTCGGCATTTAAATAAGTTAATTTCACGGAAAACCCCCGAAGCCTATACAAAAAATGTCGATATTCTGAATTTCGGCGTTATGTTTCGGACTAGGATAACACATCGAAAAAAATAGGTTAGAAAGCTCAACTGACCACTTCCTTCGCCTGCTTCAACAGTTCCATGAGCTGCTCCGTGCTCTCGCCCTTCAGCACCACTTTTACCTGAAACCGAAATCAATTTATTACCCTAAAAAAGACTTACAGCTCCCATCCGTTCCCAGCTCTGGATGCCCGCACGGCCCTCCTCGGTAGAGACGGCCTTCTGGTAGACGGCCAAGCACGCATGGCCGACCTGAGCGGCCAATTTCCCGGCGCCCATCTTCAGGCTCATATTGGCGACAAAGACCATCTTGTGGGTGCGGGCATCTAAATTACGATAGAATCAGCCAAGGAAAACTCACTTTTTGCCAACGCTTTGATCACGTCAAAACCCACGGCGTTGCTTGGGCCGGCGCCTTCGCCGGTTGATTGAGAGGCTAAAACAAGAGGTTAGCAAAGAATTTAGAAAACTGTCGAACCTCCCATGTCTGAGGGTTGTTCGCAGCCTTCTTCAGCCTCGTCTTCGTCGTCCGAGCTGCCCGAGTCGAAGTCGCTGTCGTTGCTCCTGAATGCAGTGATGAAATTCGTGAAAAAGGATTTAAAAAATTCCATGCAATAAAAATAATAATAAACACCTCTCAACAATCCAGGTGACAGCCGCCTCAATTCCCGCGTTTCCGGTACGCAAAAGGGCCAAATTAGCGGTCCACTCGTCGAATCCGAGCTCCACGAGACCGGCCAACGCTTGCTGGTCAGCTACCTAAATCAGGGCAAATTGCACGTTCAGGAATGGGTAGAATGTCAGAATTTTCAATTCTATTTGTTCCCACTAGCGGGCTTTTCTATCGATAGCTGAACGTAACAAAAATGGGTATACGAAAAAGTGCACTTCGAACTTCGAACGTTATTTTGCAAAACACTAAAGTTTTTATACGCTTCAGAAGTATGAATACTCCCGATATTAGGCTATACCTGTGCTTGTGGGTCGAGCGGATGCGCGGCCCTGGCGAAGCTGGCTGCGTGCGAGGGTGGCTGGCCGGAAAGGGATGAGCTTGGAGACTAAACAAAGCTCAGTGATTCAAAAAAATCAAGTTACCGCTTGAAACGGGTCGGGTATCGGTGCTGGCGGCACGGGACCGGGTAGTTGAGCAGCGCTGCTACTAGCCGGAGTATCCGGAATCGAGAACCCGTCTAGGGACTCGGGAATTGGCGATCCGCGCTCGGCTCGGATCGAAGCTGCAAAAATTGAGCCTCATTTTTTAAGCCGAAGCTTACCAGACAACGAATTGTTTCTCGGGATACCAAGCGTCGGCTCAGGCGGGTTGTCGCCAGGGTCAACGAATTCACCACTAAATATGCATAAATTACAAACCTGAAAAACGCTCTACCGATTGTTATTGTCCTCCGGGGGAAGTTGCTCGGCCATAGGTCTAGTTCAACTTCAGCAGGGCGAGCTTGTCCTTGCGCGCCTTTTCACGGAGCTCGCGTTGCTCTTTTCTAAAAGACAGCATGAATCCAATTGCCAACAATCTTACTGGATCTTGAAGTACTCGCTGTTGTCCTCGTTCTCGTGCGGACCGCGGATGTTGGCCCAGTTGTCGGTGTCTTCAGCGGCAACCTCCTAGAAGAAAATTGAAAAACTCAAATTACTCTCCAAACCTTGTAAATCTCCTCCACGGATTTCGGCTTGAACTGGATACCCTTCTTCTCGAGATCTCGGTGCTAAAAGTGGTTCTAGAATCAAAGAACGATCTCACGAGTTTCTCGAGGTTGTCGTCCTCCTTCTTCACCTGCCGGAACTCGTAGCGGACCTCCTAAAGAATCTTTTGAAGGTGAAAACCGCAAAGTGTACCTGGAAAAAGTGAAGTCCGTAGGCGCCGCCGAGGAGGATCGCGAAAAACGGGAGACCTTTCTTGATGAAATTGGCGTCCCGGCTCATCTAGTGGCTCAACGAGAGCCCCTGAAATGAAAATAAGCAGTACCAACATTTTTTGAGATGTATATAAAAAGCTAAGAAAAAACGCTGCAAAAAATCTATAGAATCTTATTAACCGCTTTAAATTTCAAGTTAGAGCAACTTTCAATTGCACATGGAGAACGTAAGAAAACCTAAATTAGTCTCCTGAAAAAAACCAGCTACAAAATCTATAAAATTTTATTAACCTTTATAATTTATCGTAAGAGCAAAAATAATGCTTTTCTGGCATAAACAGCTCTGAAATCCGTACAATATTATTAACCGCATATAATTTATTATTACACGTCGTATGTACAAAAAAGGCAAGAAAAAGCGACCCGTATCACACAAAAAAATCCGGGAAGTGGGCGACACCACAAAATATCAGGTTAGGTGAACTTATCGGGGATTTCATTCAAAATGACCACACGACTGTACTTTTTCTTCAAGTCGGGCCAGTGGACGATCACATCATCGGCGAGGCCGGAAAAGTAGAGGATGGCGCCGGTTAGTGATAGGGATTGGACGCGACAGATCGATTCGACGAACACGATCGTTGTGTCGCGAAGGCGGAAGATGTCGAAAAGTGCGGCGGCCAGGCAGATTGGTATGCATGTGCCGGGGCCGTTGGTCAGGACGAGGTCGGGGCTGAAAAAAATTTAACTTTCTTCGATTCAAGTAGTCGTAAAAAGCTTGGCGCTTCCGGTTTAGTAGGCGATCAAGGTGAATTTCCGGTTCTTTCGCATCATCGGGGAGCACCGATTTTTGTGTACACGTCTATAAATGTCTAACAAACCTAATAGGGAGTGTTTTAATGGTGTTTTTAGCAAAATTTAACTATATTCCATCAGAAACTATCTAAAAACCTTCAAAAACTTTAGAAAAAGTGAAAATTATGGTCAAAAACTTGTCATCTTTTACCGAAGCATCGAGAACTGTACCTCCTTTTTGTTACTTTTCGCGCTTAGGAATAGTAAAACCATTTATAAGCACTTCTACGCTTTTTATGCCATTTTTCGTCCTTTCAAACAAAGAAACGCACCAAAACCTTTAAAATAAACTTAAGGTTCTACCAGTTTAGGTCATTTTTAAACATTTCTAACAAATCACTCACCTAAACCTCCACACGACCGCCAGCGAATAGTAAAAGGCCCGCAACGTCGTGAAAACCGACGTGATGTAACTTTGGCCAACTTCTCGACTTCGCGGAATCCATTCGATCCTCGAGTTCTCCTTGAATTTCGCCAGCTCTTCCACCTGTAACTTGAAATGGGAATAGAAAAGGTGCATACAACCCACTTTTCCCTGGCTAATCTGATCGGTATCTGCGATGACGAAGGAAAACTCCTTGTAGGCGGAGGAGAGGTTCTCGAGCACGCAGCACATTTCGGTTGTGTGGCCGCCGGAGCCCATCACGGCTAGCGTTCGGACCTGAAATCAATATTACATCAAAAGCTTTTAAAACCCAACCATTTTTCGTTTTCTCGTCGAATTCCGGGAGTGCCGGACGAGGTACCACACGTAGAACGAGCCGAGCACGAGCGCTGTGACAATTGCGATGAGCACGATTAGGAAGATGGACATCTGAAATTGAAACCTAAAATTAAAACTTTAAACTTTAAAAATTAGTAAAAAGAAGTAAAACTTTTACAAAAAACAAGCCCTTTCCGGTCCGGGTTTCTTTTATTTTCAAGCTGTCAGAGGTGCGTGTATAGGAGTGTTGCGTTGGGGCCAGTGAGGAAAATCTCAGGGCCAACTTTCGAAACGTTATCTTTTCGATTCGTCAACACAATTCAAAAAAATTTCGTTTGAAAATATCTTCTTTTTGTTGTTCTTGTCATGTTTTGTATATTTCAATACTTTTATCCTTTTCAGGCGGTCCTTATCGCCTCCGGAAACCGCCGGCAACCTTTTAGAAAATCACAATCCCAGGTTTCTTTACATTCTAAACTGTAATTTTGATTTTGCAGGCTTCAACATGTCGTTCAACCCATACCACGTGCTCGGGCTGCACATTGGCTGCACGGAGAAGGAGATACAGAAGGCCTACAAGGTGCTGTGCCTCAAATGGCATCCTGACAAGAACCCGGATAGGGTTGAGGAAGGTTGGATATTTCTTTGGGTTTTTTGAAACATACGTTTTTAGCCAATCGTCGTTTCATCGAGGCGAAGAAGGCGGTTGACATTTTGCTGGACAAGGAAAAGCGCGACGAGTACGAGCATCAGGCGAAAAGAAAGGCCAACCAAGAAGCCAAGCAGAAGGAGAGGCGAGAAAAGGCGGATGGGGATAGAAAACGGTACGATTTCTTTGCTAATCTTGAAACATTTGCTTTTTTTTTAGATTTATGGACGATTTGGAGCGGCGAGAGAAGGAGTTTGCCGAACGAGGAAAACATTATACGCCTTCGCATAGCGCGAAAGAAAGCGATGAACGGTACAAGGCGAAACTCAGAAAGGAACATGTAAGTGAAACGTTTTGTGGTTAAATTCTCCTTTTTTTAGGAAATGCAAGCGCGCGCCGAGGCCGAGAGTTTACGCAAAAAATGGGAAGCCGAGGTGGAGGCCGAGATTCGAGCGCAGGATGAAAGAATAAAGAGCCACGCCCCGCAGCCGCATCATGAGCAAAATGGTAAGCTTTTATTGGCTGAAATTAAATTTATTTATTAAATGAAATTGCCTTTTTTTGCTCTTTTTAAAAATTTTAATTCGAGTTAAAAGCTATATTTTGTTTTCCAGACCCGGCGCCAAAACTGAAGGCAGCCTGGAAGGTCAAGGAAAATATGGACTACGACGAGACGGCCCTTCGGATATTGTTTGCAGAGGTACTTTAGGTTTTGTTGATTTGATAAAAGTGTATTTTTAGTACGGCCACATCGACGAGATTCTCGTGCTGCCGGAGAAAAAGGGGAAACGAAGCGCGCTGATCGTTTTCCAGGAGGGCGTCAATGCGTGGGGTGCTGAGACAGAAACAGGTTGGTTTTTGAAATGGAAAACCAATAACTTTTACTTTTAGGTGCCGGTGACTGTGAAATATCCTGCAAATGGATACAAAAACCGGCGGCAACAGAGAAGAAAGACACGTCTTCACAGGAAGAGACAGAAGAAGCAGCGGAAGCGAGAAAACATAATGGTACGCCTCGTGTTATTTGTTTGAATGAATTATTATTTTTAGAATTCGCAGAGATGAGCCTCGACGATATGGAGTCGATGATGATGTCCAGCTTTATGTCGACGCCCGACGTGAAAAAGCCGCGATGGGATGACGAATAGATTGTGAAGGATTTTAGATTGTTTTTATTTGGTATACTTATCTTTTGTGATCTCCTGTGCTACTATTACCGGTAAATAAAGATTATGTTCGAGAAAATAACCCGTGGAAGTGAGGAGAAAAGAACCGCTATCGGTTGATCTTTGCTAAATTGTTTGAAAGTCTTTTGAAATCGATTCGAAATCAAATGATGGGATTTCAATTCAAGGTTTCAGGCTTGATGCGTAAAAATAGCAACCTGCAGCGCCAGAGAAATGTTTCAGAGAATGAGGGGAAAGAGCAGGAAGATGGTGTGAGTAATTTGAGCAGGCTCGCTGGCGAAAAAAGCATGACAATAAATGCAAAGGAACAAGCAATTTTAGGACGAGTTGAACGAGCGAACGAAACGGGTCGATTCGCTGCGCCAAAATATCAAAGAAAAAGCGGCGGCGGGCGGGCGAGGCGGAGATGGATCTCCAACGAGAGCTCGTCAAAAGGTAAAAAGTGGTATAGATGTCAAAAATTCAGTTTTTAGTACAATTCCGGCGGTCATTACAGCCAGCAATCCGTGCAGACCCCTGCGGCTAACCGACCAGTTTTGACGCGAGCTTTGAGGTAGGTGTCACTAAAACAAGGCCAGAAATTACGTATTTTACGTTGTTGCTAAGAATTTTGAGTGTCAGATTCCTGATTAAAAGCGGAACTTTCCGAACTTTTATAACCGTTCTCGAAAGCGAAGGTAAACAGCGCTAGAATAAACACGCCGGGGTTGCTCCACTCAACGCGCGCGCAAGGGGGGAAGTTCATTAGCAACAGTTTTTGGGCCATTCTCCATGTTTTCCGGGTGCGTGTGTTTCCTTTTTTTAAAGATTTTTATACCTTTAGCATTCGCGAAAACGTGATCGACCCGGTGGCCCGTTTTGTGGGAATCCACACCGGGGTGGCGAATGAGGAGGAGACGGCCGAGGAGGTGGAGATGAAGCGGCAGGAGCAGATCGAGGAAGAGCAGCAGATGTGGTGGCGGAAGCGGATCAGGGTGAGTGAAATGACTCGGCGGCGCTTTAACATTATCGGGGGCGCCAGATACTTTGTCCATATGACCCAATTTTGTGCACTGTTTTTTTTTACTATTCCTAAATTTAAAAACGTTAAAAAAATACAAAAAAGCTGGACAATTTATTTAGAATGTTTCACGGCTTTGGATGGGTAGGAGCGCCTTTTATTTGCCATTCAATGGAACCATCGTTTTTGTCTTGCCGATTTCGCTTTTTTTAAAGGGGGTATTTCCCCTATCCCGAAATTCTGTATCCCGAAATTCTGTATCCCGAAACCCTCTATCCCGAAACCCTCTATCCCGAAACTCTCTATCCCGAATACTCTCTATCCCGAAAACTCTCTATCCCGAAAACTCTTTATCCCGAAAACTCTCTATCCCGAAACTCCATATCCCGAAACTCCATATCCCGAAACAAGTTAGCTAGCTTTAACGTATCGAACACCAGACTAGATCTTTGAAGTAAATAGTTTTCCGCTATTTTTCGGTTTCGGAAATATGATAAAATGATTTTCCGATGCCTTCAAGAATGTAGGGCGTTAGGAAACGCAAAATACTGAGTTTCGGGATAAAGAGTTTTCGGGATAGAGAGTTTTCGGGATAAAGAGTTTTCGGGATAGAGAGCTTTCGGGATAGAGAGTTTTCGGGATAGAGAGTTTTCGGGAAAGGGAGTTTTCGGGATAGAGAGTTTCGGGATTGGGAGTTTCGGGATACAGAATTTCGGGATTGGGCGTTTCGGGATACAGAATTTCGGGATTGGGCGTTTCGGGATACAGAATTTCGGGATAGAGAGCGGTATTCAATTGCCAATTGCTTTCTTCAAATCCTCAAATTTTAAAGATCTGGTTTCCGTTTTGAAATGACCCCTGCTAGCTTGCCCTTTTTTCAGCTGCTGGCCCCGGGGCTTTGAATCGAAAGTATACGAAAATGGTAGCTAAAGGAGAGTTTCGTAATTCTTGTCGTACGAAATCAGAGAGTTTTCGTAGATTTTCATAGGATTTCGATGTCGGTATAGTTGGAGCATTACGGATTATACCCAGATTTTGACGCAAGGAGCCGGAAATCTACGAGCTCTTCATCGTCATTCGAATCGACGGCCTTCGAAATCTGTTAAAAATCCCTTCAAATCCACGTTTTTGTCATGTATGTAAAAGCTTGTAAGCGTCCCAAAGCGGAATTTTTTTGGCGCTTCAAAAATAGAAAATTAAAATAAAAAATGATTTTACAAAAATTAAAAAATTGAAAAAAATAGTTGATACGTAGAACCTACCGAATACCTTAATTTTTCTTGACTGAGGATTGACTCGAGGTGAAACAATATTTTTTAACGGAATAAGCTAAAGCTATTCTATTCTTCCAAAATGAATTTAAGCTTGTAAAGTGTAATTCTAATCTTCTAAACCTTTCAAAAAACACACTCCTTTAAAAACCCGATTTTTCGCAAAAAAAAACATAAAAATGCCTGTAATTGCTCGAATTTCAGCGCATCAACCGGAAGTACGGGATCAAGCCCGACGAGAAGATGCTGGCCGAGGGGTCGATTGTGAACACGCCCGAGCACGCGCTACCGCCCACAAGTCCGGAGGCCGGAGCGGTAAGTGATATGTTGAGCGTAGATTAATTGAATTTTAGTATTCGCTGGATGACGAGGCCGGGATGCGGGCCGGAATTTCCGGGACAGCCATCGGCAGCTTCAACCCGTGCGCCAAGAAGCCGCCGGCGATGAGCATCGTCAGCAACTCGTTGCGCTCATTTTTTCGGAGGTAACGTATTTTTTTTAAATAAAGTAACATCAGGTTTGAAAAACCGCTTCGCGGTTATCGTGCTTGTCGTGAGAGGATAATTTTAAAGGATTTAAGGGGTAAAACGCTTGTTTCAGCGGTTCCCTGGCCTCGTGGATGAAAAAGGAGCAATCGGCCAAATTCCTGACCAGCTTCAACCCGCAGCAAATCGACACGGATGTCGTGAGAAGTGTAATTGACTTTGACCGGATACCAGGTACGGGATTTTTGTTCTCTCTCTCTCTCTCTCTCTCTCTCTCTCTCTCTCTTTCTGTCTCTCTCTCTTTCTCTCGCTCTCTCACTCTCTCTCTCTCATCTGCTAGTTTAAATGATCCACATCTCCCTGTCATTAATATCAGGGTTGGTCACGCTGGATCCTAATCGGATCCGGTCCGGTCCGTGGCGGACCGAGGGGCTTTGATTTGCTAGGAGAAACGGAAATGCAACATGCAAATTCGGATTGCAAATGAGTGGCGTACGAAAAAATTACGCAGTGTGGATATCTTAAACAAAAATGTATAAAATTATTCATTCCCCATTACTTTTTGGCGATATACGCGACGGATAGTAGCATAGATGTGGAAAAATATGTCAAATTCTTGGAGAGTAGTATTTTGCATACAAAATTTTCCATATGTGGCTCCTGAATCATGTCCTTTGTGTTCAGCCCGGACCGGACCGGTCCGGTCCGGTCCGGTCCGGTCCGGTCCGGTCCGGTCCGGTTCGAAATTCTCGGATCCACTCGGACCGATCCGGACCGGACCGGACCGCGGACCGTCCGCGGACCGGATCCTTTGTGACCAACCCTGATTAATATTGTAATTTTGGGGTTCTTAGGCATGCAGGGACTTGAAACATTATTTTTCGAATTTTACAGCGTAATTCTCGTCAAGTTTAAGGAGATTGTGATGTATGTTCAGGCTTTAGTGTAACTTTAGGGTTATTAAGGTTTCTTGAGCTTTATTGAGCTTTCGATTACTCAAGCTTTCATAAGATGTTTTCCGTATCCGATTAGCTTTTAGCGCAAAGTGGGCACCGTTTTTTTTTCATTTTCGAAGGAACATTTTTTTGCCAAACGATAGCATTGAAATTTTAGCGCATAATTTGTGAGTTTTGTTTTGACGGTGGTCGATAGAAGAAATAATAAAAATAAAGGTGATTTTTTTGATAAAATATTATTTTTACGGCGAGGTATGCAAATTTTGGTTACAGTAACTGAGCGGCCTGGGGGTTCCCTTACGTAGGGCTAGATTTCATCATCATCCAGGCGATCGGGGGGTCTGAATGGGTCGAAGATTTTCGAAAATGACCACGGGGCAAGGGAGGAGGGGTGTCATTGTAGAGATCATTTGAGGAAGGGAATTCGTGTCCCAACCTGGTCAATTCCTGTATGCCGATTTGTTATCTGCAGCCTTGCTGTGGGCGCGTAAAATAAATACGCCCCTTGTGCCCAATATTTGCTCAATTTTTTTACCGTAGAATTTCTGGGTTTCAGGGTTTTATGTGTAATTTGTAGCTAGGAAAAATCAATTAAATGTCAGAACTAACTTTTAAAAATTACATAATGTTAAAAAAGTTGGAACGCCGGCTTAACCATTTTACAAAAAAATATGTTTAAACGAAATTTGTGCATCAGCGCTAATTATATCCAGGCAATCGGCCGCAATTGAGGGGTCTAAATTGTGTATTCTTGAAGACAGCATAAATTGGGTCGGGGTGAAATTTAATAAAATCGAAAATTTCGTTAATTTAAAAAGATCGGGCATCACCTAACCAGACTAAATTTAATCATTATAAACTTTGTGCGTTTCAAAATTTTTTTCGTAATTTAGTGGCCTGGAAAAATCTATTAAACACTGGATTAAACCGTGAAAAAAATCAAGTAACTATGTATTTGCGAAAATCGGTGGCTTCCTATCCTCTACAAAAAATGTTTCAAAGAAAATATTTTATTGGAATTCGAGTCGTCGGATTAGTTCAATTCACAAATTGCGCAATACCTGGCTGGGCTAAAACATTCATCTGCAAATGGTTTTACCAACAATAACTTGCCCTTCTATAATATGATTTTTGTAATTATTTGTAATTTTATAACTGTTATTTTCTTAAAAGGAAGTTGCATTAGCCCGATTTGCGAATCGTGTAATACCTACTAGGATAAAACAGTTATCTGCAAAAACGTCTAGCGTTATAAAACCGAACCGTTTTAATCATGCTTTTAAGCCGAACTTTTAAAAAATTAAACAATTAAACTTAACCTTAAATTCTTGAAATTAAATTAAAAAATTAAAACTCCTAAAAAATTTTACCAATTTTGGCGCGCTTCCAATGTTTTATCGATTATGACCCCATCCGTTTAATAATTTAATGGCCTTGATCTAACTTTTGATTTTCAGCACACGGCGCATCACTACCGGGCGGCGCTCCCGGCACGATTCCGGCCCAGGTCCGTTTTTTCGCCGGCCAGGATAGCTTCGAGTCGGGGGCCGACGTTGAGGTAGCGTTTTTCGAAAACTGGCTGTTCAGCTCGTGTTTCCCATATTCATTTTTATAAAACACATTTTCCTAAAAATTTGCTAAAATTTGGAAAAGTCAAAAAATAATATTCAGGAGCAATGAGTAAAAAATAAAAAAAAGGTTGGTTAAGAAAAATGTTTCGCCGCAAAAAATCCTAAGCGAAAAATAGCCACGGTAATCAATTGCCTTGCATCTCGGGAATTTTGCAGCCTCGAAAATCACGGTCATTGTCGAATATATGAAGCTCTAATTATATTTTTTATAAATTGATGATGGATACAAAAACCTGTAACATGCTGATTTTTTTGGAATCGCCGGCTCGGATTTAACGACGTTTTGCACCCCAAATGAGAGCGAAACAGCGTTCTTTAGCAATCATTTTGAAAAGCCTTTTCTGCAGGAGATTCCGGGGTTATTTTTAGAAGGGTGTCAAAGGGCGAAATGGTCTTAACTAGCTCTTTCCCCAAATTGTTAATTTTGCAACCTTGAAAATACCAATGTACAATCAATTATTTTATTTCTAACGGGCCGATCCTTAAAATAACCTGAAACACCCTTTTTTTGCAGATAACCGGCCTGGCCACCACACAACATATTGGAGGGGATCCGGGGGTGACGACGACCCGGCCGAGTTTATTGCCGATGGGACCGAGCAGTCTGGATACGGTAACGGGGACACCATAATGGCAGGCCAACCTTGGCCAACCATGACAGGCCAAAATACCGACAGCTAAAATCCCGATATCCAAAACATCGACAGGCGAAAATAGCAAAATCCCGACAGACAAGGTCCTAACAATTTGAATTCTGAAGCCAATATGCCCACAGCTAAAATGCCGCGCCCTAAACCAATTGCAGTTCTGTGAGCGCTAATTTTGACTGTCGGTATTATGGCTTTCGGTGTTATGGTTGTCGTGATTTTTGTCTATCGGAATTTTCCGATAAATTTATCGATGTAGTACTGTAGGATTGCATAATTTGAATCTGGGCCTTTTTTTGAAACCCATATGTAGCAAATAGCAAGACTTACGAATAAATAACTGGTCAGCTAATAATGAGTGGCTCTAAACGTAAGCTAAAAATTTAACAAATTTTTTTTCATTAAGTTAAATAATTTTTCAGGTCATTCCGATTGGGGGCAGTTTGTCCGAGTCTATGGCAGAATCTCAATGCGTTCCCCTGCCCGCCGTAAAGGTATGCATTTATTAACTTGACTTTACAGCCGGCCAATTTTATTTTTGTCTCAATTAGGAACTTTAATTTTTTTAATTATTAACGGGGTTTCATAAAGTTTAATAAAATTAATGTAATACGAAATTTTCAGAAAAACATCTACCACGGCAGCCGCGAATATTTTGCCTCACATCGACCCGTGGCGTTGCGAACGGTTTGACTTCACAAAATTAATTAATTAAAAAAATATAGAAACAAGAAAATCGATGAATCATTTGTTTTCTCATGCGGAGAAAAAATTAGAAAAGGCTTCGATTTTTGCAAACATCGACGTTATCGAAAATTTGCGTCAGTTTTCAAAAATAAAAACGGATTGGAAAAATTTGAGAAAGTCTTTATTAATAGTGCTAATTTTTTTAATCATTTTCTGTTATTTGCTAACGAAACCGCTAAGCAAGCTTTAATAAAAATAATAAAAAAACCGTCGAAACGCTGTGGGAATTGCCTATCAAATTTTGAAATCCAAGCCTTAACAACATTACTGCCCTTTTAATAAATTCCAAATTAGCGGAAGATGAAACATGTGTTTCTTAGGAAATGTGTAGACTTAGAAATACAAAAATATTGCCTTTTGGGAAGAAAATGCCGCCTTTTCGAAAATCATGTCGCATTTTAAAAAGTTTTGAAATTTTTTAGCTAATTTAATCATCGTGAAGTTGTACTAAAAACGCTTTTCGAGCACCTACAGTTACTAGCCATTTCTGAGTAGAATTTCTAGGCGTTTCTGGATTTGCAGGTTAAATTTCTTCCCCCTGCCCCCCCCCCCCCGATAATGCAAAAGAACCGGCAAAACGAGAAAAGGGCTCGTATAAGTATCAGAATATTCACGATGATGTCTTCGTGTCTTCGTAGAGAAATGTTTCAAGGAATTTGATAGGTAATTCGTTGGATCGAAGATTAATTCCGTTCCATGACCTTTTACGAAAATGAAATAGCGCCGATTCAACGGCAGAAAATCAATGTTTAATAATATTAAATATATTAACTTAATAATTTCTGTTTAGTCGACGCCCACCCCATCGCTAAAATCGATCTGCTCGTTGGATGGGGAAGTGTTTTTCGACCAGCTGGCCAAGCCCGAATTACGTGAGTTCATTTGATGCTTTAAAGGGGCTGAGAAGCGACGCGATGCTCGGCCCCATCGCTGCCCCTTGAAATTCATAATGCCGAAATCTCATACTGTCGAAATCTCATACTGTCGAAATTTCTTAATGTCAAAGTTTACAGGAACAATTCTCCCGGAAAATCTCAAATACAATGCAAAAATGTGATATCATACAATTTTGATTATGGCATTTAAAATTCTGAAATGTCGACCTTATGGAATTTCGATATTATACAAAGTTGGACATCATGGAATTCCGATATTATGACATTTCGAATTATAAAATCACGGCATTCTGATAGCAAATCCAGATGGTATTACGACATGTAATTCCTTGCCGAAAAAGTAATTTTGGTCCCAAAAACCGTCGGAATCGATTACGCGAGGAAAAGCCGGGTGCGCGTTGCGTGTCGCGGGCGCAGAAAACTATTTTTTTATGGCTTGATGTTCCTCTAAAATCCGGCTAAAAATAGTATGTTACAGTAAAAGTAGGCGATCACAGCATTGAATTATTTCCTATTAGTGCTGGCTCCTCTTTGGCTTGATAAACCTCTCAATCCTACTATATATAAAAAAAATAGTGTTTGTGTGTGTGTGCGTGTGTGTGCATTTACATGCAACTTCCGTCCGTATGTTCCAGTCGTATCTCAAGAAAGGAAGTAGTTAGGGGTACGTATGATACGTCATTAGGTGCGTAATGGTCGTGACACGACTGCACACATATGAGGTTTTTGAAAATCAGCTGTTTTCGATATTAAAAATAGGTTTTTGTTAAAATCTCGCTCAACCTCTTTGTTAGGAATCAATTAGCATACGCCGGAAGTGCTGGGAGCCTATATAAAGGGGGGAAGGCCATTGCATTTCATTTTTTATTTGGGGCAGAGGCGGGGTGGAATTATGCAAAGTGGAGCCATCAGGGGGGCCCTAGACGGGGCCAGGGGTGAAAAGCCGCGTAGCGGCTTTTCAACCCTGGTCAAGTTTAAAACTACGATAAATTGATATATTTTGAAGTTTGAGATAGATAACTAAGAATAAGATAATAAGAAATAATAAAGTAACCATAAAATAAAATAGCCGAAAAATCGTTAAAAATTTCAATAAAAAATATTTTAGCCCCGCCCAGAGTTTTGGACCAAGTGCCCGAGGAGGAGCCCACCCCGGGTCAGCCGGAATCCAGGTAAATCTAATATTTTGTTAAAGTTTTTGTGTAACTATTAATATATAGAATTTTTATACCTCCATGATGTATATTAGGTAATTTACTTTATTATAAATTTAATTTAAATGATTGGCAAGAGTTTTTAAAGCGTTTTCGATCAAAATGTTTCAATGTTTACAGCCACCTCGAAAGGCTGGAAACGAGGAGCGAGGAGCCGACAGGTGGGTTCATAAATGGTCTAAAAATCGTTTTTTTATTCATTTCTTCGGTTTTAAGAGGCTCTTTTGCATTATCCGGGGAGGGCTAATTTTGCATAGGCCCAGAAATTCCTAATAACTTAATAGTAAGGGTTTAAGCTTGTTTTTAATAAAATTTAAGTATGTTTAAAGTGGAAAAACAAGTGGAAAAACCAGCTAAACGATTGAAAAAGAATAAAAAACGAAACTTGGGTGAAAGAATATCAAAAGGAAGTGAAATTTCATGTCATAACAATCCAAAAAAGTATGTGTTGCAGCGAAAACGAAAACGTCTTTTTCTTAACGATAAGTAATATGGCACGTTGTTCCGTTTTAAGACTATTAGCGCCTCAATTCGACGTGTTCTAGATAGAATAGCTTTGTAAATTATATTTTCCTTTTTCGCTGCTTTTAAATTTATTTTTACAGTTTAATTTTGTCTAAGCGCCCCTATTTGGAATTTGTGGGTTAAGCGTTTATTCTTACCGGTTTGAAAAATGCGTTTCATAAACCTTCAAATTGCGAGTGCGGGGTGCGGTACGTGTCGGAGAGTCCAGGCAAAATCCCCGGAATTCCATAAGCATGCAAAGCCTTCGGAATCCCTTCTCCGGCCCTTTAACTCGGTTTAAAGTAACAAAAATGATTAAAAAATTGATTTGCATATGTTTCTGTGTTTCGTATTTTTCTTGTGCATATCCTGCTCTCATGGACGTCGTGGCGCTAATTCTGAGTTTTTTTGGCAAGCTTTTAATAACTTCAAATTCAAAGCATGCATTTTTTTTTGCTGGCAACAAATCGGCAGTTTGTAAAGCTCAAGCCCAGGGAGCCCAGGGAGCCGGGAGCCCTAAGAGCTCGGGGTGCTTCCGGAGGTATATTAAAGTATCATTGACATCAGTTTTGGACTGTTATACTAGTATTAGTGCCTTACGACAAGATTTAATACGAATTACGGCTTTTTACAACCTTAAACTGCAAGATTGTTTTGGGCTCCCTGGGCTCTTGCTTTACTAAATGCCCAACAAATCTGAGGAAATTGCTTGGCCAATAATCAAACGCATGGCTGAAATTTTCGAAACATTTTTTCCGGGCAAAAAGGCTAGGGTATGTGATTTTTTAATTTGCTGTGATGCTCCAAAATGTACCAACTTCCATTACGAGCTCAGATTACCGTAATCCACTTGGGTACTGTAGGCGAATCTTCCTCTCGCTCGGCTTCCGATCGTCGAAGGGAACGACATCTTGGTATTCTGCCACCGCGAGTTTCTTATGGTTGGTCGGGGGCGAAGGTCGAGAGAGAGAGAGAGAGAGAGAGAGAGAGAGAGAGATAGAGAGGGAGAGGGAGAGAGAGAGAGAGAGAGTGAGAGAGACAGAGAGAGGAAGAGAGAGAAGGAGAGAGAGAGAAAATAGGGATTAAGCTACTAAAAGCCGCTACAAAATCACCCCGCTGCTTTCAAAGAAAATGTGTCGTGATTAAGATGAGTATTGTTTCAAAAAAACCTTCATGGTAATCTAGTGTTTTTTCCTTTGGCGCTTACAAAGATTACGGTATTTTACTACAAAAATTAAATGCATGTGTCTGTTCTGGCGTCCACTCGTCGAATCGTGTCCCCTTACAGATATTGGACCTACCGTACCACCTGTGGCAACGGTGGATGATGAGGGAAAAGAGACGGACGCCCTGCTCGAAACCTATGGAGCTGCTGTTGGAAGGCGAAATCGAAGATTCCGAACACTATGCGTGGTGCCGCCACCGTCATATCGCGAACAGCTTGGTTGGTGAAGGGTAATTGTCCGTTTGCGCGGGCATGCAGATTTTTAAAAATTGACCAGCTATCAATAAGCTTAGAGAAGTGTGGTTTGTGAAAAACATGTTTCGAAAAACGAATTTCACCAAAATTTTGACGTGTTTTAATCTGCAGATTAGGTTCGAGATTCGCCATTGCCAATTTAAAGACGAAAGAGAAGATGATTTTTTAAGTTTAAAATTTTTAAACGCAGTTTTTATATCTGTTTCACGATGAATGTGGGTTTGGTGTCGGGTTGCGCTAACCTATATGTCGTTTGCTGAGGTTATAGAAAAACTTAGAAAAATATAGGTAACTTCGCTGTGATTTAAGTAAATTTACTTATTTCCCAGCTTAAAAATAGAATTACTTTAGATAATTAATAGGTACCTATTTCTAGTGCTACTCCATGCATTTTTCAAAGAGCGTTGGAACAAAGAAATTTTGATGTTTCAGATCTCTCTTGTGAAAAAAATTTTCCGGTGCGGTTTATTATGAGTTTTTGTTACTGGTGATATAAACACTGAACATTCAATCAAACATTAAATTGTAATCCGATCTAAAATGCGTAAAATTAATAAAAAATGGGTGTGGAAAGTCGCTTAATAATTCCTTATTCATTCAAACTAAAATTAATAGATTACGTTTTACACTATGGAGAAAGTGATTTAAATCTATAATGACTATTAATCAATGCTGTTTAGCGTTTGGCGACTCGCGGCTTGCGATGCCGACAAAAACGACGTTGGGCCGCCCGGAGCCAATCGACATCGTGCCCGGACCCACCGAACGACCACCGGTAATTTTTTTTGTCTCTTAAATAGTTGAATTTATTTTATTTTATTTATTGGAATTTAGTTAATTCTTCCTTGATTTGATAATTTCAAGTTTGAATATTTTTCCACAATGTCGTCAAAGATTTGGCGTCTCGGGAAAAATTAAAAAATAGAATCTTATAAAATAGGTTATTACGGCAGTCATTGTCCCTCAAAGATGCGGAAATGTTTTAAACAACAACCAGGGTTGAAAAGCCGCTTCGCGACTTTTCAACCCTGGCCCCGTCTAACCCCATTTTATCCTTCACTTTGCATAATTGTTTTAAATTCAGATGCTAAAAAAGAAAAACTATCTCTCTGTCCATTTATATAGTCGAATCCCAACTTCCGGTCTATGCTAATTAGTCCTAACAAAGAAGTTTTGACAAAAACATAATTTTAATGTCGAAAATAGGTGATTTTATTGAATCTCAGATACGTGCAGTCATCTCCAGGCCATTAGGCACCTAATGAGGTATCATACATACCTTAAAATTCATCCCCTATCGAGATATCCTCCGGACAGACAAACGGAAGTGGATGCAAAGTGGCACACACACACACACACACAGACACTATTTTTTTTTTTATATATAGTAGGCTTTTGGTGTAAACTCAAATAGATTTGGAGGCGCTATTAGCTTGAATGTCACAGCAGTGATTATGCAATTAAATGAAACACTTTTTCCGCGAGTGCAATTCTTTTACGTCTTGGATTATCGTCGCACTTATGTCGATTTTTGATACTTGTAATTTCTAGCTAACTAGCTATCAGCAGAAACTCGCGCTATACCATTGGTATTTCTGGCTAAAGTGGCTTTCTCTCAGCCTGAAATTTCAAAATTTTTCTATTTTTGCGGCTTTTATGCCATTCGATCAACCATCAAAATCTATCGTGGTTTGAATTTTAAATTTAAGTAAAGTGTTTTCGGATATAAAAGGCTGTTAAATAACTAGAGGAAAAACAACGAAAAGGTCAGAATTTTCGAGTTTTAAAAACGTGTAAAGCATTTTTTGAAAATTGCGGTCTTACCAGAGCCGGAATTATTAATGGGGTCTTTTATTATGAGAGTCTGGCATATATTAAGCCGGAAAATATGTGTTGCGTGGAACATAAACATACAACATATTTTTTCGTAAGCATTCTGGGATCGTTTCTATCTCCTGTATTTTCCTCACGACTAAATTACCTCCGGTTTCTTTTTATTTAATGGGATCAGGATAACGAAAACGAAATATCGTAAAGTAATTATTACGCATCTGCTAAAATACTAAAAATGTTCGAAATAGAAAAGAAAACAGTTGGCACTATTAACTGACAGGGGGCCTTCTTCATTAACCGGCTTAACGTTTTTAGCGGGGTGCATAAAACTAAAACATTTTTTCCAGGCGGTCCCCTCATTGGGCGATAGGATTCTGTTGAACGTCAAGTCGGGCATTATCGACAACCGGCAGAATAAGATCAGGACCCGGCGAAAGATGGGAGAAGGTGGGGTATATTTTTCAAGCTTAAACGTATATAGGACGCACTATGCCCGTATCGGGGGGGCTACTAGTCTACATAGGGTCCAGTTTTTATAAAATAAATAGAATTTTTTTTCTACACATTTTTTACCATTCTTAGGCGCAAAACCGAGAAACTATCCTTAAAAATACAAAAAACAATCAACCTGGGTTTATAGAGTATTTTCCTGCTAGAAAAATGGTTCAATCATTTAAGTGCGCGCCTTCTCAAGTACGTTTCTGGGAAAACTTTAAATATTGACTGGTAACACTGTAAAACCATAAAAACATACAGAAAATTATTTTGCTGGGCCGATCTGGACCAATCGTGAATAATCAACACGCCCCCCGATAATGCACAAGCACCAGAAACGAAGAATCAGGTGATGTGCATAGCCACAATCTAAAAAACCGCTGGCAAGCTCGCCTGAAAATGACATAAAAAGGCTTGATGTCTCATACGAAACATCTTGCCCCTAAGAAAATTAAATGTTTTGGCTAGGTTACTGGTTAGAAACTGTAAAACCACTGTAATCGTTGACGAGTTTACGACATAAGTAAAATCTGTCCCAATTTTTACTGATTCCTTCCCTCCTAGTTATAAGAATAAAAATAATTATCACAAGGTGTACAAGGAATTAAATTAATTTAAGCTAGCTACAAAACGTTTTTTCGAAACATTATTTTCCAGGGGTCTTCGGCAGGCTGTGCCTACGAAAGATGAAAAAGCAAAGTGAGCTGCCCGCCAATTTGCGACAGCAAATCGCCAATACATCCGATGAACGGTAAGCTGAATAAAAATTTATGTCTTCTAGAGGCTTTTATTGGTACTTATACACTAAAGGGGCTTAGAAGGCCAGCCCAGACACCAAATAGAAAAATTCTGGCACAATTTCTTGAATCCTCAAATAATTTTAGCAATCCTAACAGCTTCTATCCTCGGCCTTTTGCAAAAATGGTAGTGATATTTCCGGTAATATCTAAACATTTTCTAAATGATGGTATTATCTAGAATCACTTCTGATTTCCGAGCAATCACGCAACGCGCGCGGCCTTCCCATTCTTACCCGAATGATTGCTCTGACTCCTTGAACGTTGCCACGCATCATAAAACTAAAAAATTCGCGAAGCAAACTAAGTTTTTGAAACATATACGTCCCGTTTTTCGGGATACTGGGTTGGTTGAACTCGTCGTGCGGCGTTGTGTCTTATGAAACCCGTTATTCTTCATAGCGTAATTTTGCGTCCAAAATCGAAGCCCTAAAGACTTATAATACCACTAGATACAGTCACCGTTTCAGCCCGTCCCTCCCTAATCGTATCTTAATGCTTTTAACTAGTTTCCGATATTGTCATCGCTTATCATAAACGAAAATTTTTTATTTTCGAATGATGAAACTAGTTTTTGAAAGGCGATGTGTTTCAATTTTTTTAGGAAATTTTGGTTGATCGGAGTAGATAGTGTGCACTTGCGGCACCCTTCCCATGAAAAATAGCTAGCTAGTCATCGTGGCGAATTCCAGTCATAAAAAAGGGATCTTTTCAGAATGTGATCGACACAAAATACGGTGCTCCTTTCAGCCCGTTTCGCGAGCCATAGAGCCAACCGTAAAAAAAGTCAGAATTGTTTTCGGTTTTGGAGTTTTGGAGATGTTTCAAATTTTTGGGGGATACTGGAATAGTTAAATTAGTTAATCTGTGACGTTTGGAAACTGCTGAAAATCGCTACTCATCATTACAACATTACATAAGATATTGTCGAAAATGGAAGGTTGATAAATGTGTAATACGATTAAATACGCCGATACTTTTCGCCAGTCCCTCCCTTATCGTATCGTACAAGCTGGTGGGGATTAAAAAACGGAAAAGTTTTTGGCACAAAATAATTTTTTGAAACATTCTGTGTTTCAAAGTCTTTTGGGGGACTTGGGTTGGTCGGAGTGGGTAATGCACACTTGCGATACGCCTCCCATAAAAATATGTATCAGGTTGGAAAGAAAGTAATGGCACAAAATCTTTAAACCGCTGTAAAAACCCACAGGAACGTCCGATTCGAAAGCTTGTTATATGGTTTGGTAGATCTTCGGATGCTCTATCACGAGACGACCCTCAAAACACACAAAAACTGACGGACGCGAAGATACAGGCCTCAGAAGTTTCGCAAAAAATTAGGTGAAAGCTTCCAAGCGAGATATCTCTGCATACAGGCATTTGCATACGATACTTTTAACACCAATCGATAGCCTTCGAGGAGTAGATATCGATAAATGTTGAGATCATCAAAATCGGACACTGGATGATTACTCAAGATGTTTCAAAATTTTTGGGGAATTTATGGCTGGTCGGAGCAGATAATATGCATCCGTGACAGACACCATTTTCTAGTGATGATTGAGTAACTTTGCATAGAAACTGAACGTCCTAAAAGGGATATAATCATTAGAAAAAACGCTTTTTCAGCCCGTTCTTCACCTACTGGATCACGACGGTGCAGGTGATCATCTGCCTGCTGTCCGTCCTCTTCTACGGGTTCGGCCCCGTCGGGTTTTCGAGGGTCGAGAGGTGCGTTTTGGAATCGATATCTAAAATTTATTCAATTTTTTATTTTTTAAGTGTGCTAGTTTTTTAATTATAAAAATTGACCCGTGAAGATATTTTGGTTCTTTGGCATTATGGGGGGGGGTAATTTTTCTCGTATTTTTAGGCAGTAGCTCCTGGGGTTTTTTTTACGAATTTATTAATTTATATTGATTTATTGAAAGTTACTTTAATAATAATAATTTAAATGTTACATGCTTATTTCGTAAGAAATAATATTAATAGGTCAATAATAACAATTTAAATCACGAAAATTTGTATTTAAATCTCAATATTCCAGAAAAGAGCTAGTAATGCACACGTCGGTGACGCTGAAGATGGTGTCGATGTACGAGCCGGCGAATTTTTGGCTGGGCCCCAGTCATGCAAATTTGATACGGCTGGGCGCCAAATATTCGCCGTGTATGCGGTTGGAGCCGAGCATTTGGAAGCTGATCGAGAAGGACAGACGGTAAATTAACGAGTTTAAAGGGACTGGCAAGGCAAAGGCAATTTTTGGCTATGGATTCCTTAAAGGGCTGCCGACGGCATGTGTCGATCCCCCCCCCCATCAACAAATTGGCAAGTAGCCAACAGGGCAGAGAGCGCGCCCTGGGGAGAGGCACAGAGACATTTTCTTTCCAGCGCGTAACCGATTGATTATGCCGTCGGCATCCCTTTAAGGATTACGAAATCCTCCCACGAAATCCGCCCGTTTTAATTTACCGCTTAACATCTGTTAATAATATAGAATGTATTTTAATAGTTTTAATTGGGAAGTGAGAAAAATATTTTGAAAAATCGAAAGTTTCGATATTTTTGGCCAGTTTTCATAGATTTTTGGGCAAAAACCCAAGTTTTTCGAAAATTGATAATTTTTATCAATTTTTATATATAATAACTGTGTAAAATTCTATACAACAGGTCTATATTTTTTACTGCAAAAAAATTGGCTAGCCCGTGCGATTGGCAGGAAGAAGCGCAAAATCTTAGAAAATCGATGTTTTATCGATGGTACGGATCCATTCGTAAAGAAACGCGATAGTCATAGCTGCTTTGAACCCAAAATACAAAACTACTATGATAAATTGGCATTAAAATTGGTTCTTAATAGATATAGCGAGAATTGCTTGCTAGAAAAAAGCATTGATGCTTGATTCTTGAATTGATGCCAATTCTCTAATGAATAATTTTTGAAACATACTTTCTGAAAGCAACAGAAATCGACTAAATGAAATGATGTCCATTAGGTCATAAAATGATTAAGTAACCGCTAAAGAAGGATATTAAGTCTATTAAATAGCAGTAATTACCAGTAAAGTGTATGATGAAATTTTTTATATTGATGGCTGTGCTCAAAAAAAGAATTTTCGTGTTTTCTAGAGACCATCTCTCCAAGACAGTAAAATTGGTGTATTTCTTGGGTTTATTCTTGATCATATGGTTACTGCATGAAACTCCGAATTTTTGGTTTTGTGGCGATTTAATTTTTGCGGGTTTTCTGTGGATGTGATGGGTGATTTAAAATTATGAATTTGCCAAGAATCCGCCAATGGGCATCCGCCATTTGATTATCCTGGGATTTTTTGGGTCTTTGAAAATACTTGAAACACGATTTGATTAAGAATTTTTAGTTTGCCGGATTTGCAATTTTTCCGAGACCCATTTTCAGAGACGAAAACCAGACGGGCTGCTGCATCTACGATGATGGGAGTGGGTGCTTCCAGACGACCGAGGAGAATTGCCCGGTAAATTAAAGTGTTTCAGAAATACAATGTGTCTCTTTATTAATCATCAACTAGAATCGACGACAGTTGTGAGTCACGCAAAAATCTTGTCATACTCAAATGCGAAAAAAATGTTATCAAAAATCCTTGTAGCATAATGATTATATTGACACTATTAAATTGATGTCTTTAATGGGGGCGCGAGTAATTTTATTGGATCTTTTGCATTGTCGGGGGAGGCGACGAATTTTTCCTCTGATGATTCTAGAACTGGCCAGTTACTAAATAGTAAGTATTTTAATAGTGTTTTTAGTAAATATAACTCTAATTTATGTGCCAAAATTATCTAGAGATAAAAATCTCATACTTTGATCATAAATATCCATTTTTTAGCATCTTTCAATAAAATTTTTAACGCTTTTAATTTTTTAGTTTTAGATTTAGTCACAGTTTAGACGCTTAGGAATGTTAAAAATACGCTCCCATATTTTAATTTAAAGTGTTGGAAAGTTGTCACCGGCTATGAATATTCATTTTTGCAGTTTTTGCGAACCTCCCCCCCCGATAATACAAAAGCGCCGTTTATATGTATGATTTATTAATGGGTTATTAACAACATTAAAAGCTTTTTTCAGAGCTACGGTGCCCGATTCCACTCATGGTCGACTCGGCCACCCCGGCGTCGTCCCAGCAAACCGCAAGTGCTGCCCCTTTTTGATGCGACGTATACGGTACTTGTTCAAAGTTTATATCTATAAACCGCCCATTGACTGTGCCGGACTTGGCCAAAATTCATTTCCAGGGCGAAAAGGCGGTGGTGGAGGCGTTGTTCTCGGGTAACAGCAAGTATACGGTGGGCCCGGTGTGCGGTCAGGATCCCGGGTAAGAAAGTGATAAATTTGTGGTGCCATTGCCCCTTTAAAAAGTCGAAAGAAAATGGAAATGAAGTAGAAAGGCTAACCTAAAAATGTTCTCAAAATTTACTAAAAAAATGTTTCGTTTAGAATTAGTTTTGAAACGAGAGAAAAGATAGGAATTTCTTCATATTTCTCTTTCGTCAATTTCCGGTTTCTTTAACGGATTTACGGTTTATCAGGGGGGAGAAACCCAACTTTTTTAACATGAATTTTTTCATAATATTAATAGAGCAATTCTTTGTAAGTTTTTTTACTATTACCGAACGCAAAAACTCCATGAATTTTATTAAAAAATACGAAAAATATCGGTTTTTCGACAAAAATGCGAGGGTTTTTACCAGCATTTTGAATTCTTAACATTTTTTTGTAAGTTCTTAGATAGTTTTGACCCGAATACGGCTAAATTTGACAAAAAAAAACACTTTTAAAATACGTCGTATGTCAAGCTACTAGGAATTACTGGCCGTAAAAAAGAGGTTCCGTCCTCCCTTCCCCCCGATAATGCGAAAGTACCGGTTTAGGATGTGCAAAACGCCGCCCTCCTCTCCGCCAACCGAGTGGAAAAACGACCTGTCGCAATGGCCGGTAAGCAGCGTGCGAAAAATCGGATAGAAATTGAATGTTTCAAAAAGTTTTAAACTAATGTAGTGAAAAGGGCGGTTTATTAATGCGTCCAACTTCTACACTACCTTGGAATTTTGCGAAACATTTTTTAACCGTTTAGCCTGGTATTTATCTTTTTTTGACGAAACAACGAAACACTTTGACAAACCTAATTTTTTTAGTGAATTGATCGTTAAAAGCTTAATAATTATAATAGATGAAATTTAATTAAAATTAGGATAGAAATTGTTGTTTCGAAAAAAAGCGTTGTGACAGCAGTATAATATTACTAATTGACGGGACGGCCGGTAGCTCTATTTTCACTAGTTTTAATGGGAAGTTACAAACATTTAAAGTTCTCTTATTAATGAGCACAACTTGTACTAGACTTCCCGTTTCCCCCCCTCTTTCCCCCTAAACAGGGGGGTTGGAGGGGGAAAGAGGGGGGCTGGGGAGGGGGCAAGAGGGGGGTTGGGGAGGGGGAAAAAGGGGGGCTGGGGAGGGGGAAAAAGGGGGGTTTTTTGGGGGGTAAATTTGTTATACCTGTTTTTTAGCTTTCTATTAACAGCAAAAATGCATATTTGAAGGTTACAGATAGATCTCTACAGCAGACAACTGTTTTCTCGCCATAGTTTAGGTGTAGAAAAAGTTTAGGTTTAGAAAATGTTAAAAATACGTGGTTTTCAGCGGTTTTTTTGCTGAAATTAAATAACATAGATAAAGTAAAAGGTAGTAGATGAAGATTCGCATCACCGGTTGGCGATATTTCGTTTAATTCGACGCTTTTTGCCTGGCCGACCTGGTTTTCCTAGTCACCATGGTAAAATGAAGTTTTCTTTATGAATTTAGTGTTTTTCTACTCAAATATAATAATGAAACGGTTTGGGGAATGGAAGAGAATATAGTAACAACCCATTCAAGCGGTTATTAGCCAAAATATAGATAGGTGTGTTAGCGAAGTTCACAGAATATGCTATATAGTTGTGTTTTCTTAACTCAGATAGGTTTTGTTACCATCTTTGATGCTTCCCAATATTATAAAAACAGAAAACAACAAAGAACAAACAGAAAACAAACAGAAAACCCGTCAAAAATCATGATATCTTGATCAATCACCTGAAATCCACAGACGAAGGAAAAAACGTCGAATTAAAGGAAATATAGACATTGCGAATAGCCAATCTTCGTCTACTAGCATTTACTTTATCTATTTTGTTTGATTTTGAGCAAATACGCCTAGAAACCGCGTAATCCAAAGGTTTTATATTTTCTTTTCAATGAAAAGTTGCCGAAAATTGGTGTTGGTGGTGTTGGTTGGTAAGTAGCACGTTGCCGAAAGTTTGTCTTCGCTTGTTGCCGCAGTTCGTATTCGCGAGTTGCCGAAAATTCGTTTTCCCAAACTTTATCGTCCCCGTTTTTCGACTAGGGGGGGTTGGGAGGGGGAAAATGGGGGGTTTTTTGGGGGGCTTTGGGGGGCTGGGGAGGGGGAAAGAGGGGGGCGCCGAGGGGGAAAGAGGGGGGCTGGGGAGGGGGGCTTTTTGGGGGGTAACAGGGGGCAAAGGGGGAAAGAGGGGGGGTGGGTTCGGGAGGTCTAACTTGTACATTGATCTTTGAATTTTGCGAAACATCAGTTTTTAACCCATTTTGTGCACTTTTTATTTTGGTGTTTTTTATCAAACAATGATACTTTCGAACAAATCTAATTTTGTTAAGAAGATGGCTTAGGAATTACAAAAGATAAAACTTTATAGACTTTATCGCGTGGCCGGCGCGTGTCAGAAAAATTGCATCGAAATTGTTGTTTCAAAATAAGAGCATTAAAGGCGGTATAAGTAAATTATTATTAAGACGGGCAGTCGCTCTATTCTCACTAGTTGTAATGGAAAGTTACAGAAATCAGATCGGGTTACTTCCTACATTAATGCGTTCAGCTACTCACATAACCGTTGAATTTTGTGAAACGTCTTTTTTAAACAATTTTTCAGGTTGTCGACCATTTTATTTTGGCTTTTTTATCAAACAATGAAACATTTTGCGCAACCTAATTTTGCTGTAAATTTGTCGCTAACAACCTAATAATTTCTAAAGTTAAGTAAAAATTCCGTATCTTATAGATTTGCGAATCCGTCTACAAAGTGAGCGCGTATCCTGACCACATGAAGTGCAAGCTGACCGGGCGGCCGTGTTGTCTCATGCAATTGGTGAGTTTTGGTTTAAATTTAGGTAATTATGAAATCCAGTAAAATGTGATAGAATGGCGGATTTCAGGCTAACTTTAACCCAAAATAAACATGTTTAGAAAATCTTCGTTTTAGGGCCAATGCCGCATCGCTACGCGAGAGTACTGCGCCTTCGTCCAGGGCACCTACCACGAGAACGCGACGTTGTGCTCACAGGTCGGCCCTGGAATTTTGATGTTTTAGAGATTCCCGGGGGCCCCGATCAGATATTTTGTTTAGTCTCTTTGATCCACGTCCATTTCAATACCATATTGAACGCAAAGCTATGGAAAGAACGCTATAAATTATCTAAAAATCTGTTTTTCCTACAGTACGTTACATTTGGCTTATTAGGCTTGGAGTAGGGATATCGTAGCTTAAAAAGGGGCTAAGAAGCCTGGTTCACCCTCACAGCGTTGATTCCTGGCAAATGGCCAACTGCTGCCGCAACGCGACCGCGCTGCATGCCGTTTGCCCTTGGTTAGACGTGAAAAGACGTGGAAATGCGTGAATTTCACAATTCTAAAGCTTATTCTAGAATCGGCCTGCGATTTCAATCATTTTAACTTTTTCAATTTTCAAAATTGTCCCAGCGTTCACCCAAATCGGGAAATTGAGCGCCTTGCAAGGCATTACGACATATAATTCTTGTGGGCCGAAAAAGCCGATTTTGCCTAAATATATCTCGTTATTTATCACTTTTTATTTTTTTTGCAACAAAGGCAATTTCTCGGCGCTTTTCTTTTTTTTGAAAGATATGTTCCAGGTCTGAACACTCATATTTTGAAGTTTAGTCTCTTTAATCTGGTCGTGTTTGGAACTACAAAAACCATGTCAATTTTCAACTGCATTTAAAGGGTATAGAAAATTAATACTATCGATTTTCTTGTCTCTCACATCCCCGTAGCTTTGGCGCTACGCGACACGCAACTCGCGCAAAGTTTTTCATTACGTAAAATTGGATGAAATTAATTAGATTAAAACCCCGCCAAGGAGGCGAATTGACGTGCGCGTTGCGTGTCGCGGGCGCGGTAAAACATACAAGGAATCCGTATCGATTCGGCAAAAACCAATTCATTAGAAACGGAAGAAAATTGCTAACGTTAATCGTATTACAGTAATTTTAAAAAATCATACGAATTTGCAAATAGATAGGTTTTGAAGGTACCAGATTTAAGGAGAAAACCGTCTGGGATTATTTCTAGCGTGTTTCTAGAAATCATGAAAAAACGTTGAAACACTGAATTCGGTAATTTCTTCTGACGCTCTCGACAGTGCGGCTTCCGGGCAGCCAGCAAAGCTGAAAAGCCATGAAACAGGTGCTTTTTCAGGTCCACTGTATGGAGGATGTCTGCGGAATGGTGCCATTTCTCATCAAAGATCGTCCCGATCAGGCTTCGCGCCTCTTCATCTCGCTCTTTCTGCATGCGGGGTATATTTTGAAATTTTGGTGCCTTAAACGTATATTACGGGTAATATTTTTATTTAGCTGGTCGAACTGGGTAAAAGTGAAAATGGATCGCCGCAATAAATAAGAAAGTACGCAGCAATAAGTACGGATTGTCCGTGGTCAATTTATTCGCTTCAAACGGAAATTCCATTAAAAGTATACATCGGACTAACAACGCAAAATTAGGTGAATAGTACATAGCGGCAAATTACACGAGCATAAAACATCCTTTTCTAAATCGTTCGAAATTTTGTAAATCATAAGTTTCAACTTTTGGTGTTGTTTCAGTCCAGCCCTGGAAGACCACAGATTAACAATACTTTCCTTAACAAATAGTTAGTAGAACAAGTAAAACATTACTTTTCTACACGGTTCTTTCGCGTTATCAGGCGCAACCAAATTTTCTCGGTAGGTCGAAATGTCTGGTGGCGCGTTTGAACTGCGCTTTAGTAAAATTTAATGAAACTAAAGTCGAAAAATCATCTAAAACAAAAATTTTTTAAATTTTGGGCGAAAATTAGCCAACGACAAATCTACATTTTTTGATAAAAATGTGTATGGTTTTTACCCTAGGAAATTGTAAAATAGAGTTATAAAACATGGCTCTATTCCTATGAAAAGGGATAATAAAGAAAAAATGTTGCTTGATAGGATACCGAAGCTGGTATAAAAGATATTTTCTTAGAGATGCTGGTTAGACGAAAACTTTTTGATAAAACCAACCGCCATTAAGTAATTAATTACATACCATCTTACTGTACAAATTTAGGCTTATCCACTGCGCGTTGACGGTGGGCCTTCAGCTGTGGCTGCTCAGGGACTTGGAGCAGTTGATCGGATGGAGACGGATGGCTATCCTGTATTTTGGATCGGGAGTTGGTGGAAATATGGCCTCATCGATATTTGTCCCGTTTTTGGTGAGTCGGTGAACTTTTGTCATAAATAACCGTTACAAAAACTGTCGGGTCATCAATAGAAAAAGTTAAAACATGGAATTTGCAAAATTCGATTTTTTCCGAAAATTTTCGAAGTTATGACGATCAAAATTCGGCAACATACGATGCAATGCAATAACTATGAATAATTTCAAATCATCAATAGGGAAAGGTGAAACATAAAATTTGCAAAAATTCTATTTTTCAAATGGAGATTTCGATGTTTTGATCAGTTTTGTAATAATTTAAAGTCAGGCCGCTAAAAAAGTGCGACTTGCAGCAATTTTGGGTGGTTTAGCATTAACGGGGGGTATCAGGGCCTCGTCAATTTTGGTCTCATTTTTGGTATTATGGGCAAGTCCCCCCCCCAAATCGGCGGAAGGCAGAGAAGCTCATAAGGTGATCATGAAGCTCTTTTTATAATTTTTTTGCTGCCTGTGGCGCTATTTATTACTGTATTTAAGGCGTTTTTACTTCAATGAAGCCTATTTTGCCAAAATTACTTGCGCTACATTTGACCCATTGTCACAATAGTTACGAAAAAGACCGACGCGTCATTGGAGAAAGTTGAAACATTAAATTCGCAAAAATTTGATTTTATACCTGGAGTTCCGATGTTCTGTACGGATTTCTAAAAATTGAAAGGGATCTTAAGCGTCTAAAAAAGTTCGACTTGCGCCAATTTTTTGGGTAGTTTGGTATTATCGGGGGGGGGGGGGCGGCATCAAGGCCTCATCATCCATTTTGCTCCTAATTTTTGCTAATTTGATCAGGAGTCTAGAAGCAGGGAGCGAATTAATTTACAAGTTTTAAATTATGGATAGCGAAGGGTGAAACATAAAATTTGTGAAAAATTCTATTCTTCACATTGGGTTTTTCTATACAATTTAAGCGTTGTTAAATCCCTGAATATGTTCTTTTTCAGCCCCAAGTCGGCCCGACGGCATCGCTGATTGGTATCCAGGGCTCGCTGCTCGTCGAGGTCTACAATTTTGGGTAAGGGATTTAGGCTAAAGTATAGTTTTTCTAAGTTGCGTTTCTACGTCAAAAATTTCCGGGAAAAGAATTTGTGATAATGATTTTGCAGTCAAAATACCAATAAGCTATTGCAAAAGCATAATAATGGATCGCTAAAACGACATTTTTTCGACTTTTTGATGAAATTCGCGTTTTACAAAACTAATTAAATTAAATTTTGAATTATTTAAATTTATTTAAAATTATTTAAATAAATTTTCATTTAAATTTAATTCAACTTAACCTATTTTTAGCGACCTAATCGACACACCTTGGAAAGCGTACATCGAGCACCTGTTCGTGATCTTGGTCCTGTTGATGATCGGTCTATTTCCGTGGGTCGACAATTGGACCCATCTTTTCGGCTTCATCTTTGGGTTGCTCATCTCCGTCGGTACGTTCCTTGGATCTATGGATGCTTTGCTATCAGTTTGTCGAATTTCGAGTCACGGCAATCTGTTTTAATGCTTTCTACCGGTCCAAAAATTGCAGAAATCCCAAAAGTTTCGAAACATTAAAATTTTGCGCATAACAAAAATGGTAGTACCATGTGGAAGCTGTATTGAACAAAAATATACGTGAGCTAATTTTTAAGAATAAAATTTTATGAATTATTAATAAAATATACGCCGTTTACTACCAAAAATTAGTCGGGTAACAGCTAGAATGTTTCACAAATTGAGTATTTACTTGCAACAAAAGTAAGGCAATAATTGTTTTGTTTGCGGGTAATGTGCATTTTTTCAAGGGAAAATTAAATAAATATCACAGTAGGGTCCGAAAAATTGTGAAAATAATGTAAAAATGTACGCCTGATTAACGCCTTTTGAGTGATCTTCCCCTACATTAACTTGATGGACATGAAGAAAGATCCGGAGGGATATGAGAAGGAACAGCGGCGACGAAAAGTAGGTTGTTTCGGCCAAAATAGAAAAACGATGTTTTTCGGAATTTGGGCATTAATCTGGTTCCGAAGCTTTTAATCCGAACTGTTTTCGCGCCAAAAATGACCGGTAGGAACGAATACGAGGTGTTCCAATTTTCAGCTTGCTAGCTACAGTAGCTTTTGAATTCTTGAAAAAATAAGTTATATTTTAAATTCTTAACAGGAATTTCGCCAGAATTGGGCATTAAAATGTACGGTAAAGATTCAATTGATTTGACGAAACATCTCTTTTTTTGCCAGTGGACTGTTGGCAGGAGAAACCAAATTGTTCCTAACAATCCCGTACAACCTAATAAAATAATATATACCGGTTTGAACGTTTTACAAAGTTTTTAGATATAAAAAGCAAAAATTATAGCGACTACCAAAGATTTTACACTTTTTGGTGATAGATGTTTCAGAACACTTAGAAGATTCAAAATTTTTGATTTGTTAATTATATGGGATGCTCTTTTATAACTTCCTGGCAATCAAAAACTCCTAAAAATTATAAACTAAATAATATATTATTAACCGGTTTTGCGAAAAAATACGAACTAGCTGCCCCCCCCCCCCCCCCGTTAACAACCCAGTACCGGTTTTCTTATAGCTGATCATCGCCGGGGCGCTGCTCATCCTCATCCCGCTCACCGCTACGTTAACGTAGGTTTTCACTATCCAAGATTTAAATTAAATTAAGTTTTATCAAACGGAATTTAATCTTAATTTTAATTATTAAATCAAACCTAAAATTTGGTAAGTCAAAGTTTTTTTTGATATTCATCCTTCCTTCAAATAAAATTTCAAATAAAATCGAAATTTACTAGAGAAACTAAAACCGTTTGGTTGTTTTTCCCAATTTTTACAGTAAAAATTCCAAAAAAAGGCGTCGGTCAAAATTACATGATTCGTATCATTTTAGAGTTTCGGCTTGTAAAATTTTTCCAGTATCTCGCACAAATTTTTGACAAAGCTGAAACTGTAACAAATTGTCAAAGAATAAAGATTATTCTAAAAGACCGGAATTAGATTAATTTTTGTAAATATTTGTAATATTTTTGTAATAAATGTAATAATGTAATAATAATGTATTAAATATTTGTAAATGTTTTGTAAATTTGATAATTTCAGGTACATCTTCTTCTGGAACATCCCGATCGAATGCAAATGGTGCGCCCAGTTTAACTGCCTGCCATTTTTGAACATTCTCATCGGCGACCAGCACTTTTGCGACAATCAGGGGCTCGAGCTCGAGAATATACTGCCAATTTGAATAATTCTATTGATTATTTATTTTAGCGATTTTGGACATATTTTTTTGGTGCTTTTGCATTATCGGGGGAGGGGGGGGGCTTTTCCTAATGATCTAGTTTTTTAGTATAACAATATGACGGGTTTTAAAGGTTTTTTTTTTACTCTTCCTAAGCCTAAACACCTTCGAAATTTTTGCTTAAAAACAACAACATCGATTTTTCGACCAAATATCCAGATTTTTCTAAATTTTTAAGCTTCCTTGGTAATTGTATACATGAAATGCAGCTAATTTTACCAAAAAACTATAAAAATAATTACTATTAAATTATTAGGCATTACTGGGCACAGCAAATTAGGTTCATCCCCCCGATATTGGAAAAGAACCTATTACTTAATTTTCAAATTCCGAGCTCAATTTAGCATATTGGCAGAAAGAAGAATAATACTTGTTTTCGCAATCCGAAATAATTTAATTTCCTTGAAACATGAAACTTCAAAAAAATTAGAGCGTGATTTGTCGTTTCAGGCCTATCATCGTTATTTTATTCCTCAACCCCTAACCTTGTCTTTTTTAACATTTTGTTGATAATTGATTGTCTTTACTTTTGTTGCTTTACTTTCTCCCATTTAATTTGTTTGTATTTTCGATATTTTTTTATTTACAAAACGAGTATATATGCATGCCCCCTCACTTGATTGCTAAATCTGACGCTAGTGATTTTATTGGTCAAAATTCGCCAAATATTACGTTGTGATTCGCGAAATTAGTGCCTTTCCCGTTAAATCTGCCCATCATATGTCTCATACTGTTTTCACTTTACGATTATACCACTCGGGTTACGGTTTTCAATCCCAAATCCACGCCTTAATGCCCTGAATTTTCAGGTTTAACACGTATTTTTTATGATGTTTCAGAGAATAAATGCGATAAAATGAAAAAATTTAAAATAATAGTCGAACAAATGCTGTATCAATTTTGGACTTGCCTTACTAAGCGTCCCTTTCCTAATGCTGTCTGCGAGCCTGCACTCCCACTTCTTCCTAAATGCTCCTTGCTAGCCTGTCCCCTCTTCTTCCTAAATTCTCCCTGCGAGCCTGCCTGGTCATTTAATTCACTAAATATAGGGCGAAAATCCATGTAAATTGCAGATTTTATGCAAAATCAGCGTCTTAATTGCTTGCTAAAGCTAACAGGTCGATGCTGATTTTACTCCTGTTTAAGAAATCGTTGAATATCGAGCGCGGGCTAAAAAATTTTGTGAAACCAAATACGCTTGTTTTCTCGCCTTTCCAAGAGCTTTCGAATGGTGTGAAAATCATGCCGATTCGACTTTTCTCGGGACCAATAAAGGGGGTCGATTTTTTATTGGGGCACGGGTGTATGTCGAGTCAATACATTTTAGCCTGTGAGCTTGCTCATCAAATTTTTCGAAACATTTTATTTTTCTCGCACCCATTTCTTGGAAAAAGAAAAATGAAAATTACTTCATGTCGAGACCAGACGATCCGAACGATCTTACGAAGCGCTCCTTTGCGATGCTCTCTGCTGGACTGCCCTCTCTCTTCTTCCCAAATGCTCTCTGCTAGCCTGTCTACCCTCTTCTTCCCAAATTCTCTCTACTTGTCTGCCTTCTGTTTTTCCTAAATGCTCTCTGCTAGCCTGCTTTCCTTTCAAGTTAGCCGGTAAATTGCGGACGCACTGTGTTTCAGTCCGTGAGCTTTTTCATGAATTCTTTTCGAAACATTTTATTTTTCTTCCACTTCTATTTCTTAGAAATCAGAAATTCCGCGTCTATAAAAATCAAATAATTTAAGTCCATTCTAGCCAACAATTTTTGAATCTTCATAAATCGTGTGAATATCAACATTTAATAGGTCATCATGATGTAGATGGCATGGATGAGTCCAGGGATGTAGAAGAGCATGCATAGGAGGAAATTTAGACATGCCTTCCCGCCGTCGCCCGTCACCAGCCCCACCGTCACCGGCTGAAAAAAAAATTGGTGTTTCAGGGTTTTATTGGGGCCGTGTTGCTGCTGTCGGCATAATGTGGCTCCGACAGAAAGTGGAAATACAAAAATAATGCTTTCCACTTTTTTCTTTACTTTCTGGATTTACGGAGGTTAAAGCCTCGTTTACAACCGGGTTTTCCCATTTTTTTATCTTAATCATGTTTATCATCCGCTTTTTTACTAAAAAGTTACGTATCCTTTTTTAAGTAAACTACGGCGAACATTTTGGGACACTTTACAGCCCTGTAGCACGAAGGAGGAGTTGTTTTTACAAATAGAAATTATGAAAAAATGCGACAACTTAATAATCATTAATCCAACGTTTTTCACATCGTCTAGACTGGCCGCCGAAACATTTTATTTTTATTTTTCTAGCCCCGAACTGAATTCACAGCATCGAATTTTGATAACTACTACTTTAGTTTTTCGAAGCGTAAGGATGTCTAAACTTATGATATCCAAGTTTCACAATTACGAAATTTTATATTGTCGAAATACTTAAAAGATGCCGATATTTGAAATTTCAAAATGTCGAAATTTTAGAAAAAGTTTGTTAATTGCAAAATGCCGTCATGCCGAGATTCCAATGCCCATTCTTTAACCTTTAATTTATTATGGCCATAATTTTGACACACGGATTTCGAGATTATGAAAGTTGAGTTACGGTATTTCGACAACGTGAATGCCGCCATTGTGAAGGTTGAAATTCGCGAAGTTTTGGCATTATGACATTTCGATATACATTCGACATTTCGCTGACATTCGACAATATCGAAAGTAGGTAACTTCGGCACTCGAAAATTTCAAAAAAGGGCCTTTCGACAAACTCCGACAATATGAAAGATCGACATTCTGGAAATTCGACTTCAGGCCATTTCAGTCAAATTAAATTACGATATTTTGGAAAGTTAGGAATTTCAAAATTTTTGATATGAGATCGCGACGTACAGAAATGTCGGTATTATCGAAAAAAAATCTCGAAATTTGGAAATTTGGACCTCAGCAACTACGACGCCTTGAATTTCCATTTTTCGACATTAAAAAACCACCAAAACCCACCGGGCAAATGATACAGAATAGAATCTCCCAAAAGCTGCTGCGGGCCATCTTCGGTTTAGATTTTGTTCTTTTGATGCAGTAGTCGGGGTGTCAAGAGGAATGGCGCGGACCGGAACGGCTGCACCGAGAAGAGCGCTCCCATTTTGGGATGCACACCGTAACCTGGATACGGTGACGGAGACCGCCCGAAAAAGGGGAAGTACCTCGCAAATTCTTTTGTGTTTTAGGGCGACTAGACTCTTTTTGAAGAATGAATTTTCGGTTTCAGAACAAAAAATTTCAAAAAATTATTGAAAGAGCAAAAATATAAAAAAAATGGAAAAATGAAGGTAGATGGACGATGAGATTTGCAACAATCGCGGAGATCATACTCGCTTGACACAGGCCAAAATTCGAAACCTTGATTTTTCAAACTCTAGTAAAAACACTCCAAAAATCAGAACGCCAAACCGCTAAAAAAGACTGCGTACCAACTTTTGATCCACAATTTTATGGCGGCATTAAACATTTAACACCCAAATTACATTTTTAAATTGTACAATTTTATAGACTATCCATACTTTTTGAACGACGAATTTTCGATTTCAGAAAAAAAGATTTTTCAAGAAATATGTGAAAGAGAAAGTTTTCAAAAACGGCAATTTGTAAGTCACAACGGCGAGTAGCAACACAGAAGGATACCATACGATCTTTGTTTTTTCGAGTTTTATACACGCCAAAATTCGAAACACTGATTTTGCAAACTCTAGGGAAAATATATCCAAGATGGTAAGCGCCGCATTGCAAAAAAATGAGCAGCAGATTTTAATACAAAATATAGCGACATTTAAAATTTGACACCACAATCGAATTTGATACTAAACAATAGTTAAGAATCCATGACTATATTTTTCCCAAAAAAGGCAAGATGATAAGGGTCGCCTACTTCGATTACCAAAAGCAAAACGCACCAAACTCTAAAACATTTTGAAACATCTTGATAGCTAAAACTAAACTGAATTTTCCCGGCGACAACTAGTTATAGGCGATGCTAAAATAATAAATTTTCGAGAACCTTGGACGTTCTTCGAAATCGTCGAAAGACGACGATGGGTCCATGCTCAACCTAGTCGCCGAATAAACTCCAAGCATTGCCAAAAGTCGATAAGGCTTTATTTTGAAACCAGCTGAAACATTTTACGCGCAAAGTTTTTTTCGCCTAAAGATACCAAAAGCCATATCAAGCATCGCTAAAATACGTCAAAATTTTCAAAACTATTTTTTATTAGTTTCTAATAATCATTACTAAAACTGCTAAAATTACTAAAAGAATAACTACCAAAATCGCTGAAACCACAGCTAGGGTCTAAGATCCATAATATTGCCTTTCCTGTCCCGTTAAACTTCTCGGATGGCACCAAATTTCGACATCCGCACCACTCGTGTTCAACATTCGAGTCTACCAGTTTTGGTGGTGTTTCCAGTCTTCTCTCGCTCGCTCGCTCTCTCTCTCTCTCTTTCTTTCTCTCTCCCTCGCTGTCTCTCTCTGTCTCTCTCTCCTTCCATTTCGAAAGAAACCCGTGAAAACACGAGTTTCACCCCTCAGGGAGGTCCAGTTGGATTTCGGAGGAGGAACAAGTTGTTCGGATTATGGCGGAATAGCACCCATCTTTGCACTCACAGCAAAGCTGTTCCAATGCTCATACGCGATCTTACAGTACGGTCGATACTTCCGAAATGCTCTCGGCTAGCCTGCTCCCCCTCCTCCTCCCAAATGCTCACTGCTAACCAGCCCTCTCTATCAGGTATGTGTTTGCCGCTGATTAGAGTCGATCATAACCGGGGCAAAGACACCCTTTTTTGAAACATTGGTTTTGAGACAGAAATTTAAAAAATAATTCCTGACCCGCCAGTAGCTCCAATTCCTCCAATTTTGACAGCACTTCAAGCTATCTGGGAGATGGGA